GGACAAATCAGCTGTAATATTTAATAGTTTGTGTTAAATTGTAACATGATTCAGCAGTGCTAAACTCTGTATATATGCTCCGCAAGCTAATATCTGCTAACCAGTTCAATAAATAACAGTGATTACATCGACTTTATAAGATTATTTTAATTTTAAACTGTTACATTATGTTCTGCTCAGATCACATTGAGCTGAATAAGATCAAATCTGATGACTTGTGTTGTAAAATGAGACGTTTTCCTGTTTATCTTCTGTTAATAAATCCATAACACAAACAGCTTTTCTGACATTATTTAAAACATTAGATATATTATATAAACTGTAAAATATTAATAATAACTGGGTTAGTGTTATTATTAATAGTTTTAATGATTTCTACATCGTCAGTCCTTTTTTCTGCTCTGTTGTCAACATGTACAGTAAAGGGAAATCCAGACTCTTGACCGTTTAGCGTTAGCCGTTAGCTTCACCAGCCGATCACACGGTTTGTGGTTTCTGCGCTCCAGCTGTTCTATAGAACCTCCTTGGGCGGGATCTTCGAAGGACCCAGCCCCTGAATTTGGACACAGCCATGAACTACAAACGCTTGAGTAATGTTTTCAAGAAATAGATGTCCATTACCTTCCTCTCAGGGCTGCTACCCCCGCTTGAGCTCAACACATGCTTCCAGCCTTGTTCTCTGGCTTGGTTTACACGAGTGATCTGGAAGAAACCATGGGTGCAGATTTTTTAATTCAGCACAGTGGGAGTGTTTGAGTCGCAGAATACATTTGGTGGCTGGACTCAATCATCTTATGGTGATAAAATCAGACACTTTTCAGACCCAAATGTCTTTGAGGAAAATCATTTCTCACCTTTTCCTTCTCAGTTCTCTTAATTTGCTCTGCTTTCAGCAGGAACACCTGAAGAAAATGGAGATCAGAAAACTCACACAGTGCATTTTTTATTATTATTATTCAGGGACTAAACTGTGGGCTTACCTGTTCTCTCTGTTTTCTTTGTTTCTCAATCAGCTCCATCCTTTTCTTTCTGATGCCCTCCTGTAGATGAGACAACAGCACCTCAAACACAAAACAACATTTTACAAACACTCGTCTTCAGGGCTGCAGTACTGCTCTGTCACAGGGCAGGCAGGCAAGGTGGACAAAGGGGCAGGTCAAGAAAAATCTAACTCAGGCAGAACACTCCGAACGGATCAGGAGTGGGAGGTAAGGAGCAAGCTTTATGGGAGGGAGAAAACAGAAAATGCTGTAAGAAGTGAYCCACATGTGTGAATAGAAGACGGAGGGAGGTCAAACAGGGAGTTATACGGGGCACTCAGCTGTACCTCGTGTTTTTTTCTTTCCTCCTCCACTTGACTGACTCTTCTCTGAGGAGCTGCTGGGAGAGGGGCCTGAGCGACATACGACACRTGGCTTCAGAGTTTGCCGACACAGCGTGACGTCAAAAACACTCATAAGCACACATACAGACACACATACGGAGAGGCCTCTGATATTTAACACAATGAGCTTAACCTCAACAGCATCAAGGGATAAAACTCAAAGCAATATTATGTACTAACCAGGTTGTGTTTCACAGCTGCTTTCCTCTCTGTATGCTTTTTGGCTCCACCTCCAACCTTCCTCACTGTTAAAGGCACTCCATATTTGCAGGCTGGGGTTGTAATTTTCTGGGCTGGAGCTGCAGGATGTGAAAAAAGTAGCAAGCAGAATCATTTACACAAGTAAAACATGTCAAACATTTTTTACAGTCAGTTCAAACAGCAAATGAAACATCTGTTAACAAGAAAAGATTACTAGAAACAACTACACTTTCTGGTTGGTTGTATTGTGTGGGGGAACACCCTCTCTGATCTGAACTGGAGCAGTGTTCTGGTTTTGGACGTCTGTGCTTGTCATAATATGTCCATAACAAATAGCACACGGCAGTGTCCACGGTACCAGGACAGTCTAGACCAGGGGTTCTTAACCTTTTTGACCTCGGGGCCCAATTTCTTGAACATAAAGTGTCACGAGGCCCAGTCAGACATTACCAATGTACGGATCAAAATGATAATTATTCCAAATCTTGAATTAATTTTTTATTGTATTTACATCAAAACTAAACTATCATAACTAACATAACTAAATTAAATACACTTACAGTTTAAAAGTAAAACTCCTGTCAAATAATCACAACACATGATTATGACAAACATTTTTATACTGTAACCTGCCCATAACAATTATTTGAACAAATACAAAGGTCAGTCAACAGACCACTCAGGCTTATCAACACAAAAAAAGACAAACAAAAAAACATAAACAATAACAAAAATAGACAATTCAAAAAATAAAATTGTGGGCATAAAATAAATAAATTAAAAATGTTTAATGTTTCAAATAAATTTGATAAAGTACAAATCAAAATATAGTCTTTTTAAACTTTTGCAACCAGAAGCTGC